TCAGGCCCACCTTCTCTTTGAATTGACAACTTTCGGTTTCTGATGCCTGTCTGCATTTTAGCAAGCAATCAAAGAGAAAGTTTGAGAGAAGAGAAAGCCGTGCTTACGCTTGATGGGTGCTAACTTGTCGTGGAAAGTAAGGTCACACACGTGTCCTCTTGACCCCTGAGCCAGATGTGCAGCCTACTGCTCTTTGGAGTCAAGTGAAGTCCACCTTACCCACTCCCGGAGCCTCCCACTCTTGCGCCCTCCCAGCTCAAGGGAATCGTTTTGTTCTAGCTATATGAACCAGACAGACACCTTGAAGAGCCAACCTCAGGAGATTTTCACATTACTGGATCCTCAGACAGCCAGCCTCAGGAGATTGTCACGTCACTGGGTCTCCAGACAGACACCTCAGACAGCCAGCCTCAGGAGATTGTCACGTCACTGGGTCTCCAGAGCACAGGGTGTGTTTCGAGGCCACAACATTATATCCCTGCAGTTTCCATTACTCCTGGAAAAACTCGATGGGAAAACAAATCAGGAGTTCAGGGCTTTAAAACAAAGGTCACAGCTGAGTGTGGTGGTACCGTCATCCCAGGGGCTCTTGAGGCTGAGACTTGAGGATAGCATGTTCTTCCCAGGGGCTCACGAGGCTGAGACATGAGGATGGCATGTTCTTCCCAGGGGCTCACGAGGCTGAGACATGAGGATGGCATGTTCTCCCCAGGGTACAGAACAATTTTAAGGCTGGCTTGGGTTTGTAACTTTACAAGATCCTATATCAACTGTTTAAAATATGGAGCGTAAGCTGTAGCTAACTGCTAGAACAACTGCCTAACAAGTTCAAGGCCCTACATCCAATCCCCAGCTCCTCAAAAACAAAAAAATAATTAATTTATTAATGAATTACAGGTCAACAAGCAGACTGTCCTTCTCTGAATGGATTCTCATCATTCATCATTTCCCACGGGGCCTTTGACACTTTGAAATGGACAAGTGTTGTTCTAAATTTCTTGTCTCTACATGAAAGAACAAGTGGCTGGTGGTCTCAGCCATTTACCGACCATCAGCTTCCCTAGGGACACAGACTGCTATGGCTTCAGCTAGCTTTGTGTAGATGTCACAGAGGGCAGCTGTGCCTGGCAAAGACGCAGAGCCACAGGGCCTATGGTAGAGAGGACCCTGCGCCTGGACAGGAGATGGGGGATAGCAGGGTATGAACCAAGGACCTTCATTCCTTTGTAAACCGGATGGGGAAAGACCCCTGGCTTCAGTGAGTTGCATTCACTTAGAATGACATTAAAGGGAGACGTGAAATGTGCTTTTGTAAAGCACAAAACCCTTTGCAGATCCAAGAGTTTGTTTGCACAGGTAGCCTTGACCAAAGTCGCAGAGACTCTTCAAAGTCAGGAGAAAGGGACAAAACACAGTTCCTCAAACTTTGAAGCGTGTGGAGTCGTCTGGGGAGTTATTTCAAACCACCCTATCCATTTCCCGGGTGACTCTGATTGGAACTCCAGGCTGGGAGACACTTGGATAAGGGTTTGACTGGAAATAGGCTCCCATCCACTCATCAGATATTTGGAACATGCAGAAATCTCGGAGGACAGAAACAATTACAAGATATGGCTCAGATGGTGAGCAACTTCAGGGCTACATGTGGGGGGAAGATAAGATGAAAGCTGTGCGCAGATGTAGGACCCACAGCCCACAGTCACAATCTCCCTGCGTCCCTTTGGAGCGAGAAGCCAGACAAGACTCCACTCTCCCCAGAGGGAAACTCTGGTTCCTAGCATTGGTTAAAGCACCCGTGTGAGCGCCTCTATTCCCAAAGTGTGAGCCTCGCGCCCGGGGCCCTGAGGACCAATGTGGGTCATAGGAGTCTGGGTCAGGCATCAGGAGAAGAGTGTGGATCCTGCCTCCGTCTGAGAAAAGCAGGCATCTTGGAGAGTTCCGCTCAGACATGGAAGGGACAGAGGCCTCTTTGCATTCCAGAGAGCATCTGGTCTATGGGGGCACCCAGGAAGCCTGAATGAGACGATTCCAGATGTGGTCAGCTGTGTGAGAAGAACGGGAGACTTAGCCTCGGAAGGTTTCACTTTGAGTCTCCTCCCCAAGGTCAGGCTCCCAGAGCCCATCTGGAGTCCCAGCAGCGTCTTGGAGCAGAAGAATGCCACCTCCTCTTTTCTGACACCCTACTGTCCCTATGTATGGGTCCCAAGAACAGTGACTAAAGAGTCCTGGTCCAAGAGCCAGGAGGCCTGGCTTGTGATACTGCCCCTGCCAGTAACGAGCTACAAAACCATGTCTCCTTCTGTGTCATATCCATTTCCAAAGAGGAACACCCAGGAGACTGCCATCCTCTCCAGCTACTTCACAGGGCTGACATGAGGACTCCATGAAACCCTTTGAAAAGGTAGAAGAGTATCTCTGAAATCAAGAAATGAATGGGACACCTCTGAGTAAAATGCTGACCTCTGGATTGTGCCGTCTGATCATGAGCCTGTGCCCCGGTTCACCGGAGAACATTCTATCACATTCTATCTGCTGCTCTGCTTTGAAAACGTGGCCCGGTCTCCTGAGAAGTCACCACCACAGTGTCCTCTGCAGATAAAGACTTGTGGACGAGGTTGCTGTGCCTGCTGCATCCCCTCCAGCTTTGGCAGATACGAATTCTCTCTCCAGGCCTACAGAAGCTAAAAATGCTATGGCTTTGCCCAGCCATCTCTTACCTCACACCCACCCCCAAGCCTCAGCCTGCTTGCCCAGATCTGGAGGTACCTGAGTCATCTGACCCCAACCCATTCATGTGACATCTTTGTTCGCTGCTACATTGACTTGAGAGAGGAAAAAAATACCTCAACCAGGAAATGTAGAGGTATTTCATCCTCCCCTCACGTGGTCCTGGAATATCGCTTTAAAGAACATTCTTGTGGTGTTTCCAGATCTTTCCTTTTAGTCCTGCCACGGGAGGAGCTGGTCCGAGGGGAAACTGCTCCCCAGCAGAGCCGATCTTCAAAGGGACTTCTTCGGGCAGGAAGAGGGAATGTCTGATATTGTGGCTGAATAAACAGACTCATCAAGCTCAGAGCCAGTTTGGAAAGCTAGGCCCTCTGAGTCTGCCGTCTGCTAGCCCCGCACCGCGCATTGCTACGGCTCTATTTGTAATGTCCTCCTGTCTCTCTCTCCTACTCTATGGTCTTCTTCACCAAATGCCGTAGCGTAGCTGACTGTGGAATGACCACTTTCCTTACTATTTGTACGCTAACCTAAAATAATAGGCTCTGCACGTCTCAACGATGCAGATCTCACTGCCTTGCAATCTCTACCACAGCCCACAGTCATCAACTTCCCACAGTTGTAAAGGGAGATCAGCCTGGTACAGCAATAAACACCCAACATTCATGTTCCAAGGACACTGAGGCAGAGGGAGCACCAAGAGGTCAAGGCCATCCTATGCTACTTAGTGAATTCTAAGGCAAGCTGACTGTTAAAACAAAGCAGATTATATGGTTGGCTCATAACACACTGTACGTCAGCCCTGGGCACACCACTGGTAGAATCCTAAGCTTTACAGGATTCCAAAGAACTCGTTTTCAGAAACAAACAACACCACCTACAAATCCACACACTCCGAAAGACAACTGTCTCCCCTGTCCCCTGAAATGGTTCAGGGTCCCGCAATCTATCCTAGGGTCACTCAGACGTAACTACCTAAACCTTCTAGAACCATCAGTTTTTCCATTGACAAGCTGCTCACGATCAAAATTCCAAGCCCCAGGTCACAGCAGGGATTAGGCTTAGAGACCGGAATTTCTCTTTTCCGTCCTGGAAAATTTGGGATTTTCTTTTAGCACTAAATAAGCACCAAAAGATGTCGTGGCTATTCAGAAAACCCGGATATTAATGCATGACTTTTGACATGTGTGCATCCACGTATACTCTCCTGGACATAGACACTCTATGAATTTCCCATCTCAAAATTTCAGTCCCGTCAGAATTTGTTTCTGAAATTCTGAAATTTATGTTTGCTCTAAATATCCTGATATTTATTTATTTATTATATTTTCTTGTGGGAAATATTCTGAAAGACACACATTCTTGGGAGGGTTTAGAAAACTCTCCAGAAACTAAGTTTCAAATGAAAGTTCATCTCTTCCAATTAATTTATCCCTTCCACAACTGGCTATCGGTGGCTGTGTTAGCCTACTTCCTGGCTGTCCCCCTGTCCTATTCTAACAGAAACAATAGGAGAAAGTCATAGCTATATCTGGATAATATGGATATCTAGGATTCAAAGCAGCTTTAATTTGCTCCCAATAGTAGGCAGTTAAGTAATCATTCAGTTAGTTATCCCTCCCAATCTGCCAGCAACATTGCCACTGTCTTCCTAAGTACCAGTGAGAGCTATGGCTATAATCCCCTCACGAGGGACACTGAGAAAGGAGGTTTGCTGTGAGTTCAAGACAAGCATGGGCTACAGCAAGACTGCTTCAAATAAAATAAAATTAAAAATAGAAAAATAAAGACTACTTGGGCTCCCTAGGATGGTCAGCATTTTCAGGGTGTCTGTTTATTGGTGACCATCGTGAGTATCGTCGAGGAGTCACAAGGATCAGGCCGCTGTGTCCCCCCTCACTGACCCAGCCTAACAGCCACGCATGCACCAAGTAGTCCACATACCTCACCATTTTATAAAGCCATATTGTGTCTATTCCTGGAGAAAATAAAAAAGTATCCCAGCTCAGCCACTCCGGTACTGGCTGACAAATTCCCAGATATTTAGAAGATACCAACGATTGGATTTTTCATTTTTTAACTGATTTCTGTATAGGTGGCATCATCAACCGCCCATCAAACGAAGAACAAAGGTCAGAGACTGTTTGTAGCCAGGCATTCTCAGATGCGCCCCCCTCCACCCAGCGTGGAGCAGGCTCTCCTTGTGCAACCACGGACGCAAACATCCCTTAGGCATAGAGAGCGGGACAAGGTGGGAGGCATTGGCTTTTGCTCACCTTTGGCCAGGCTTTATTTGTTCTACAGATAAAAAAATAACTTTGGACTTCTTTATCCAGCCAGTTACCTTGCATCGGCAGTGAACTCCCTCAAAACTTTCTGTTCCCGTCAGACTCCTGAGAAAACAAAACGGAAAAAATAAAAGCACAGTTAAAATCTACTTTCTTTGGTCAACATCCTAGCATTGAGCAATTTCTTGACATCTAAAAGGGGCTGTCCTGGAGTCTGACTGGAAGTGAACTCTCTATTGATCAAATGCTGGGGCCGGGAACAACCGGAGAAGGGAAGCTGAGCTTGCAGACCCTGTCCTATGTCACCTCCCATCTCTCCCCTCGGCCTCATTAGGACTTTTTGTTCCTTTTGAAAATAGGGATCTTTGGATGTTTAGACCATACACTTCTACCAACAATAAAATGTTAAATTTAGTTTAATTTACAAACTACACATTTATTAACCTATTCTGAATATAGAGAATACAGGAACACAGGAATATTACACCTGTGCTCAGGTGTTTGATTTCATATAGAACCCATAAATATGGAGGATTATTGCATGACAACTAAAAAGAACACGCATGCCAAAATTTAAGGTGAAATTAAAATGAACACAAATGGGCTTAACGTCTTATTTCTCACACCAATAGATCGCTTCCGAATTCCCATGAGGTAGCGACACCTTACTTCTGCATCCATCCCTTTTCAAATGTGGGCTTCTATCACTCTCCCCCGCCAAGCACCACTTTGTCCTCAGGAAAACCTGTGTTTGTGGAAAGATCCGCTGCCTGTCATAATGGGTGTCTGTGAACAAGGACATATCGTAACATTCACAATTTAAGTATGAGTATAATTATGAGAAGAAAGCTGCATTTTACCTTAATATCAGAAGTACCAAAATATTCAGGGTATTGGGACAGCAATGTGTTGCCTAGTGGCCCTGATCTCAGACCTCCTCGCCAGATGTGCCGCAGCAGCCCCGCGCTCTCCAAACAGAAACATTTCCAATGGATACAAGAGAGAAGGGAGGGTGGCTGACAGGCTAAAGGGTTTCTACGAAGTTAACATTTGATTTCTACTCAAGGTTTATGTTCCTTTAGAATTCAGGAGGGGGACAATTCCCCGACAGCCCCCACAGAGGCAGAAGCACAGTCCTCTGCACCCTGCTGATTCCCTCCCCAAGGAAGGCCCAGATGAATTCTCCTAGGTCTGCACAGAGATTCCAGGGCTCTGTAGCTTTACATTGAGGGATTAAAGACTTCCACAGAACAAAAGGAAAAACAGATATTTGGGGGGCTTAAATAACGGCAAGTTCTTACATACTCAGAGATTTATGCCTGTCATAAATAGATGGAGCCTAAGATGAATAGTGATCTGATTTTCATATTTGTGATCACAAGCTGGAGATCTTTTATAACGACAGTATTCCTTAGGCGTGTGTATACATCCAATTCACCAAATCATCTCAAAAGCTTCAGCTTGACTTCGACCCACAAAACAAAGGGAAGCAGAAAGAATTGATCAGGAATTGAGACGCTTCTTCAGAAGTTTGTATGCACAGGTCTGTATGTATCCATATCAATTGCATACATATATGTGTGCTTATGTATACATTTGCATGTGAAGAGAAGTCCCTGCCATAACCATTCATCTAGGAAAATCACTATACAGTGATTCTCCAGCAAGCACTGAATAATACAATGGAACACATAGCGCAGACCAGAGATTACTCAGCAGTTATGAGCACATACTACTCTTGCAGAGGATCAGGTCCCAGTGCTCATTCAAGGTGGCTCACAACTACCTATATCCCAGCTCCAGGAGGATCCCTGCATTCAGGCACAAACCACACACAGACACATGAATGTACATAATTAAAATAGATAGGGACTAAAGAGATGACTCCGTAGTTAAGAGAATTTCTTGTTCATCCAGAGGACTCAGGTTTGGTTTCCAGCACCCACGTGGTGACTCACAACCCTCTATAACTCTAGTTCTAAGAGATTGGATGCTCTCTTCTGATCGCTACAAGTTGGAGTCATGCATGTGGTACACACACATACCTTCTTGCTCAAAAAATACTCATACACATGAAATAAAATAAATACACTTTTAAAAATTAAATCTTCTCAAACAGCAAACGAGCGTGTAGCTTGCAGAGAGAAGAATTGCATATAACTAAAGTCAGATTATTGCAAATTTCCACTTTAGAAAAAGGACTTTTCAGATAAGCAAAGCTGTATTGAAAATAGAAGAACTTCAGACTGGCAAATCATACCCACATATATAACCCTCACAGATATGAGGAAGAAACTGGTCCTGCAGCACCAGCCATGAGGTTGGAGTTCGGAACTCACAGAAGACAAGCAATGATGGGCCAGAATTCAGTCTTCCCTGAAACATTCTGGCAAACAAGGAAAATTACGTTGTTGTTGTTGTTGTTGTCCACTTAAAATACCCAAAAATATGCTTTCACGCACAGGAGACAATGCCTCAGAAGGCACAGGACTGACAGAGGTCCCGGGAATTCTACCTCTCTTGCGCCTTTCCAGGCAATGACCTTTGTTTCTGAAATGTCAAGACATCTCTTATGTCATCATGAGCCTATTCTCCCAGCCCCTCAGAGTGCCACCCTCAAATGGACATAAGCGGTGCCAAAAGTGATAAGACCTGGGAATTGCTGAGTGCCACCAATCCTTCTGTCAACACAGCTGACCTGAAATCTGACCTTGATCACCTTCCTTTAACGGTGCTGAGGACAGGCACACAGAGACAAACTGTTCATCAGCTGCTCTCCCAGGCAGGAGTCTCAGGTGGGAACGGATGCTGATTCTGCCTCTCTTGACTGTCTGAACTCAACTCTCAATCCATGGTTGGCTCCAGCTGTTCCAAAGAACACAAGGACAGATATGCTAGGGAGAACAGGAACTCAACGGGGAGAATGCTGACTTTTCAGCTTCTTCAATAATCCCTGTTATGAGCCAAAGAAGATAGTTTGAACCCCCACATGAAGCACTAATTTCCCATTCTGTCAAACCACAGTGAACACTTCAGTGTTTCCCAAACTGTTAAGGCTTTGTTATGTCTCGTGAATGAATCAGCGCAGCAAGGTGCTCATCAGGTGAGGGGTCAGACACATACAGATGCCTCCACCTTGTCAGTGGGAAAGTCAGAAGTGATCAGAACAGTTGGTTTGCCCGGTTCATGAGCAAACACTCTTAGTGTTCACAGTTACTGCTCAGCTGTTAGTTCTGAAGACTGGTGAAACACAAGCTAAGTTTAAACCTTCATGAGTCCCTGTCTACGGGAAAAGCACTTCAGTACTACGGGGAAAGCCACACACGGGACACCTGTGATCGCGTCTCCTTAAGATGATCATGCCAAGTATTTCTTTCAAGGCACAAACCATTCCCCTTGTGTTAGGGCAGAATCTATTCCTCTAAGCCTTGGAATATGGGTTCACCAGTGTCATTCTTCACACAAGGGAGAGGGAAGAAATGATCACACGACTTTCAAGGAGATATTTTAGAATCTTTGCAACATCCACCCAAATGTCTCAGAACATTGGCTCTAGAGGAAGCTGATCACAATATGAAAATCTGATGACCCAAAGACCACCAAAACACAAGGAAATCTAAGATAACCATGTAGACAGAGAGTTCTGATTAGCCCAAGGCCAAAAATACAAATGGAGTTGCTCTAGCCTCAGCCACCATCTGATATGAACACATGAGACTCCAAGTAAGAGCTGCCCAACTGAGCTGTCAACCCAAGAACCACAAGTAACACAATACACTCCCTTATTGTCACTACGCTTAGAATACTTTATCAGCAACAGTGCTGGGTAGCTGAAACAGGTTTCTATAGCTACTAAATAAGTACACAGGCTGGGAAAAACAGGCTACTTAGAAAAAAGGATCACTAAGCAAATCTAATAAAATCTACCAAAGGCTTTATGTAGGGGATATCAGCAGTGGTCAAGACCATTTGGAAACTGGACAGCTTTGTGGATAATTGTGGCCAAGAGGAAATCTGCTATGGAGAAAGTAACTTTTTTTTTGAGAGTGGAATTTTCCAAACTCACCAACCATCTCAGCGGGATTCGTTAGCTGATTGCTCAATGTTCTGCTCGCCTCTCCTTTACACAGAGCAAACTCATGACTGTCCCAGCCACGATTCTAGGTACAAAGTAGACAAAACATAGCACACCAAGGAAAAGCATTGGTAGGCACAGGAAGCAGGTTCCAAAGAGCTCAACCTGCTCATTTATTTTGTAAAGGAGACTGTGGTCCAGGTAGCACTGTAAAACAACCAAATATAGCGGGAGATAAGCGTGGGCGGGAGTGGAAAATAGAGGCTAAATGCCGGGCACAGGCAGCTGTGACATCATAACAGCCCCCGTGATTGCACTGATATGGCCACCCCTTTATTATGACAAGCTTAATTATGACACGATCCATATCTATCAAGTCTTTGATGGTTGTAAATAAGTCTGAGTCATTCCGCCATCATTTTTACCAGAGACACAATAGCTTTAGCCTTTGGGGGTAATGAAGAAAATAAATGCCAAGAGGATGGATTTAATCCTTGTGCCTTTTCCGTTAAAATGGAAACAGGGCCTGCTGCCCCCCTTCCTGGGTATCAATTTTTTATGGCTGAGTAGGTCTTCTTGGTACTCAAATACCACACCCCTCACTTAAAGAATACTTTCCACTCTATTCCAGTCTAAACCCACAAATCCCTCATTCCCAAACAGGAATTCCATCTCGTATAAGAGTACAAGATTGTGTGCATAATCAGCTGAAAAAATGTTGACACACGTTGACCAACTTTATAAACAAACTCAGTATAAAACAGACAAAAAACTATGGTTGACAGTTTTTATGGATCCAGTAAGGCAGAGCGTCTACAAAGCATCCACCCTTTGCCTGTGTGTACAAACAGAACCCAGGACTCAGGGGCGTCCGCACTATAAGCAGGGTAGGAAGGAAAGTGCCTTTCGCTGAGATCTAACTTATTTGATTTTTCTTTGTTTCTTTTGATTCTGCCACATTCATGAAACCAATTCAAAATAATTTATTGTGTGGCATGAAGACAAGGGGTTCATTAAGGTCTGTTCTTGAGACGTTTTCAAGAAAATGTGAGTTACAAAGGACAACCCTGTTGGATGTCTCACCAGAAGGACCAAGAGAGTGATGCTCAACCCTCTTTTGTTGAGAGACAGCACGTACCTTCAGCATTCTTCCAACCCCTCCTGGGCTGGAGGATTGCTTCAGTGGTTCAGAGCACTGGTTGATCATCCAGAGGACTGGAGTTTGATTCCCACACCCACAAAGCAGCTCACAAACGTATGTTAACTACAGTCCCAAGAAAGCTAACAGCCTCTTCTGGCCACTTTGGGTACTGCATGCCCATGGTACATGGACATAGAATTCTATACATAAAATAGGAATAAATAAAATCTCAAATATTTTAATTAAAAAATTTAAAAATAAAATTCTCCCATACTTCAAGGCCTGGGAGTCTAGAAAATACATTTCCCAGGCTCTCTTGCCAAGAAGATTCTTAGAGTGATTTGCCACTGACATCACAGGAAGCTGAAAAGGCAAGAAACAGACATTTTCCTCAATCAGTAGCCACAAGCAGGTGTTTGTGTGCATAGACAAGGGACAGATGGTGGGTTGTATGTCACTTCTATGCAGACAGCTGAGGGCATCAGTGTCCACTTGCATAACTTCCTCGATCTCTCCTTCCCAACCCTCTCAAGAGTTCTGTTTACCTTCTAATTCTGTACATGGTATCCCTTCCTCAGGAGAATATTCAAGTAGATAAGTCACAACAGAACTGGGTAGGTATTGTTTCAATAATAAATAACTCCTTGCTCTCTAGTCTTAACTTGGTACAGCCTAGGATTACTTGAAAAATCTTAGTGTTTTTTTTTCAATTTTTGATTTATTTAAGTGTTTTGCCAGCACATATGTGTTGGGGGAGGCCACTAGTTTGTTTTCCCACTGCCCTTACCCAAAACAATCACACAGAAATCTGTATTAATTGCAATACTGTTTGGCCAATAGGTTAATCATATTTCTGGCTAACTCTTATATCTTAAATTAACCCATTTCTATTCATCTGTGTATTGCCACATGGCTGTGGCTTTCTGGCAAGGTTCCGGGGCATCTGTCTCTTGCGGGTGGCTACATGGCTTCTCCCTGACCCCACCTACTTTCTCCAAGCATTCAGTTTAGTTTTCCCATCTAGCTCTATTCTGTTAAGCCATTGGCCAAAAGCAGCTTCTTTATTAACCAATGGCAATAAAACATACTCACAGCATACAGAGGGGAATCCCACATCACTTCCCCTTTCTGTCTAAATAAAAAGGAAGGTTTTAACTTTAACATAGTAAATTTACATATAGCAAAACAAGTATCAAGCAAGAATTACAGTTACAATATTTATATCTACTTTATCGTTTATCATAACTAAGGAAAACTATAATTATAACTACCTATTCTTCAACTCCATTAAAGACCACTGAAGGAAATAATATTACCTGAGCTAATAGGAAGTGCAGTATAAGCGAGTGCCAAAACCGTAGAATTGACAGAGACATCTTGCTGCTTGAACAGTCACCCAAAGTTCTTCTGTATCATTGGGGCATCCAATCTTCAGCCCACAGGCCCATAGTATCTGGCAGACTTTTCCATGAAGCAGGAAATTTGAAGATGTGTTCTGCCTTGTAATGGCTAAGTCCATCAGTCACTTTCTTCTGTGTCCTGCTGAATGTCTGGCAGACTCTTTCATGAAGCAGGAACCATGAAGGACTGGCTCACCTTCAGCAGTCATTTCTCTGTGGTCCCACAGATCTAGTCAAGCAGTTCAGGCAGGAGCAGTTTCTTGCCCACATGGCTAACCAACTCTCTGAGCAGCTAGCCACATCTCCACTGCACTACTCTGGTTCTTTCTTTTCTGTGTCGTTGCTATGACATCGCTTTCCCCATCACAGCACAGCCTCCTCCTGCTCTCAACACCCTCTCCTCCTCTTCTCTATGTGTTCTCTCATGCTGGAACTCACCATGGTGGTCTGAGTGAGAAAGGCCCTCACAGGCTCATACATTTGAATGCTTGGGCTACAGTTGGTGGAACTGCTTGGGAAGGATTAGGAGGTGTGGCCTTGTCAGAGGAGGCATGGCACTGGGCATGGGTTTTGAGGTTATTGTTATCTCTGCTTCATACTTGTGGGTCAGATGTAAGCTCTGAGCTACTGACCCAGAGCTGCGCCTGCCTGCCTCCATGTTCTTCACCATGAAAGTCAGAGACTCCCACTGTAGAACTATGACCCCAAATTAAATGTTTTTTTTTTTCTATAAGTTGCCTGGAGCATGGTGTTTTGTCACAGCAATAGGCAAGCAACTAAGACACCCACTTTCCTTGATTTTGCTCTTCACAGAAATTTACCAGTGTTCTACTCTCTTCTCCTGGCAGCTTCTAAGCCTGGGGTCAAGACAAAAAGATGGGGTTGTCACTCTGTCCAAAGCCAGAGAGAAAGCCATTGCAGTCACTTCACCCTCCACTCAAAAATCATCTTATCCTCACTGTTGTGTTTGATGGACAGCAGAAGGAGAAACCCCATTTGATAAAGCAAAAAAATAATAAAAAACAAAACCTTCTTGGAAGACTATATGGGGAAAAAATAAAAATTCTTTTTAAAAATTCATTTTATATGTGTGTGAGTGTTTGGCCTGCATGTATGTCTGTACACTACATGTGTGCCTGGTGCTCACAGCAATTAGAAGAGGGAGTCCGGTCCCCTGAACCTGGAGTTAGAGTGGTTGTGAGTTACCATGTTGGTGTTGGGTTCCAAACTCTGGTCCTCTGCAAGAACCACTGAGCTATCTCTCTGATCCCTAAAAAGTCATTTTTGAAAGAATGAACTTTGAGTGTTTTCTAGCATACCAACACCACATTCTTCTATAAAAGGTCGACAACATAAGTGACCACCTCTTCCTCATCACCTGCTTCATTCTCTGCTTATAGTTTGGGATAAGAACAGGGGGAAATGGTCTCAATTCCAGTCCCAATGGCTTCCTATCTTTTCAGTGATTGATTTCACATCAGTCTGTCACGCAATCCCTTCTGTGCAGACACGCATCAAGGTACACCAGAGTTTGAATGAGATTCCTGTGTTCCCAGGCTCACTGCAGAGTGACTAATGGTAGCCAGGACACGGCAGCAACTTTGTTGTCCATCAGTAGATAAAGGGGTAAAAAACCTCAGGGCTAGAGAGATGTTTCAATGGTTAAAGACACTGGCTGTTCTTCCAGAAAACTTGGGTTTGAATTCTACCACCCATATGGAAGCTCATAGCTGCTATAACTCCAGTTCTAAGGGATCTGATGCCCGTTTCTGGCTTCCAGGGGTACTACACACATGTGGTACACTTACATACACACAGGTAAGACACTGATACACAAAAAATAAAAATAAATCTTTTTTAGTAATCATGGCACATATAAATAGCTTGACTTATGACCAGACTATTTCTATAAAAGTTGCTTGAAGTTAGAATAATAATGATGCATGGAGGAGCTTAACATAGAAAATGAAAAATTATAAATCCTCACAGTTATTAATCGCAACAATAACAGTTGTGAGCATTTTTTGAGCACTCGCTGTATAGCAGGAGCTGTTCTATGCCTTTCATGTGGCTCTCTTCTTGGAATCCCTCAGCCCCTCCCCCCCTCGGAGCTGTCTTATCAGCACCCTGACTTATTTAGGGATTTATTTTTGCAGAAGATGTAACATGCGACTAGCAACTGGCAGGATGAGAAATTATTGAAAATAGGAACATTATAGACCCATACATCTGTCATCCACAGGAATGAGGACTGGAGAGGCAGCTCCCGAGCTCACGGTCTGAGATTCACCTGCACAGTGAGTGAGGAGAAGACTACAGAAGCCCTAGTCCACCTCCTTCCTTGGTCAGAATGTCGGTGCACCAAATGACACCCTGCACATCCTCAGGTAGGTCCCTCAGCCATCCCCAGACCAGGGCCTCCAGTGCCAAGAGCTATTCTGTTCTGTTGAAAGTGGAGGACACTTTCCTGTGAAATACGTACAAAGAGCTAGCACATCTAGACAGCTTATGCCAAACGCGAAATGTCATCTACAATCAGGAGGAACACACCAACACCATGAGCCATCAGGCCCCTTTCAAGACTTTAGCACTGAAAATCAACCTTTTTCTTTTTTAAGGTCTGGATGGTCCATGTGACTCCCAGCTTCGTTGCATGTGATTCCCCATCTTCCATTCCTGTTGCTGGCCATCCACTCTCCTGTCATCTGTTTCTCCAACTTGAAAAGATAGGTAGGTGATGGATGGGTAGGTTATGGATTGATAGATAGATGATAGATAATCCTATCAATTAATAGATAGATGACAGAATGGTAGGTAGAGGGGGCAATAGACAAATTTTACATCTTCTCAGTCATATAAAGATTTCTGAGAGATGAACTGAATATTAAAAGTTTTTTAAAAGGCAATAAAAAATAAATTCTTCAGCAAGGTATGGTAACACATGCCTATAAATCTTAATATACAGGACCCCTTTTTCAGGAGAATTCTGAATTCAAGGCTACTCTAATCTGCATAACCTGGCCAACCTCAACTACATGGTAAACACTGATAGAGAGGGGAAGGGAAGAAGGGAAGGAGGGAGAGAAACTTCTTTATAATGACCTTTCTATTAGAGTGGTATGTGTGTGTGTGTACACACGTTTGTGCACATGCGCGTGCATGCACATTGGCATGTAAATAATAGAATAATGGTCTGTTTGTGCCATGGCATATATGTGGGTGTCAGAGCTGGCTCAAGTGTTTCTGGAGACGCCTGGCTCCACCTCTCACCTCCTATAGATATGTGACTGTTACAGACACTTGTGCTACGATGTCCCCAGCCTTTATGTGGCTGCTAGGGATACAAACCTAGGTTTACAGATTGGAGCAATAAACACTTTACCCACAATGCCATTACCTAGCCCATTACCTCCCTTTGTTTAAGGTCAAATAAACCCACCCTTATTGTGGCCCAAATCCCCTCATCACCTGTTTTCCTCTGTCGTTCCAGAGGACCACAGCTGGGCCACTGCTGTCTCTGTGATCATCAACTCTTAGTCTTTCTTTCATCCTAACTTGAAGGGTACTTGACAGATGGGCACACAAAGGACAACTTGGGCCTTGCCCTGGTGCCAGGCTTGGGAAGGGGAGATAGAGAGATGCCCAGAAGAGACAGGATTGAAAATAGGTAACATGCTGACCATGTCAACTGAAGAATTATGGGCAAATGGACATGATGGAGCTCAGAAAAGCCACTATGGTGACCTCTAAGGGAAGGCAACGGCATGGGCTGAGAAGGGACAGAAGACCTGTCTAGAATGAAGTCATCTACAAGTCTGTAACCAAGTCGCTGGGGCGCAGAAACAGAGAAAGAAGGACACTATGCGGGGACACACTGGCAAAACACACGCATCCATCCCCTTCTACTACCAGCGGGGGCACTGTCAACACGGCAGTTAAGAAAGGCAAGGAACTAGGAAGACTGGGGTGCAAATAGGTGAGGCTACACCGTGGTGCTAATATCCGACCTAAGTGGGGGTGGCATCACCCGCTCTTCCCTGTAACCACCATGTCCTCCCAGCTACAGACGTGTGCTGAGCCTTGGCCAGAGAGCTGCCCTCTGTAGCGTTATCGACCATCCACTGGTATTATGCTTTTGATCCTAAATGTCCCCCCAGAGCTGGTATGTTAAATCTTCAGCCCCTAGCTGATGGGTAGAGCATAACTAAAATAAGCCATCATTAGGGGGCAGGTCCTTCAAGAATGTACTGGGCTCTCAGCCCTTTCTTCTCACTAATTTATTTTGCTTTTCTGGACATCCCAGCAGCGCAGGAGCAGCTCTGCCCCTCAGCTCTGATGCCTCCACTCACCACGTGTGCACAGCGATGAAGCTAAATGTCCACCCAGGGAGAACCTACAGAAACTGTTTGAGTCTAAATATGTGCTCTCTTTACAAATTGATTTTTCTCAGGCATTTTGTCAACTAAAAGATAGCCTTTCTGGCTACAAATGATCAAGTGATTTTTTTTTTTTGTTTCTGTCAATGTAAGTCCACAGTCTTATTTTATAACAAACATGATTCCGGGGTTCCTGGGAAAAAGAAGCTAAAATTTGTCCAAGGAAGATCAAAAGTTGAGAGTTGGTCAATGAATAACATTTGTTTGTCTTAGGAGCAGAAGGCTCTATGAGGCCAGAAGGCAGTGTGAGGGTCTGGGCAGCAGCCTGTGCTGGATCCCGACTGTTCCAGTCTGAGTAGGCTGCCTCTCTTCCCAAGTTCTATTTGTCAGAAGCAGGGGAGAGGTGTGGGGAGCAGGCAGAGAAGCAGAAGCAGGGGAGGGGTGTGGGGAGCAGGCAGAGAAGCAGAAGCAGGGGAGGGG